ATAACCATAAAACAGATTAACATCCAAATCAGTAGTAATAGAATACATAATTATAAAACACATTAATATCCAAATCAATAGAAATATAATAAAAACCACAAATTATAAACAAATCTTATACTTTTTTACAATTATAAATATTAAAAAGATTTGAAAATTCTATTTCGCTACATTACTAGAGGCACAAAGAATAATAAAATATGATTTCAAGTTTCAAGTACACTGTAAGTAATTCTTAAAAATTAAAATTAGTTTTTTTTATTAATGCACTAGTGATCCAATCCCATCTTCCAAACCTTATTAAAAAGAATAAAAGTTAACATAAATATCATTAGGATTAATTAGAAGCATTCATAATTAAGATTTAAAATTTCTCAACCAAACGTCCAAAAATAGTAGAATATCAAGACTATTTCTATTATTTAATTTTAAGATTTCTAGAAAGATATTTTTTTAAAACTTAATTAAAAAAATCAAAATATCATTTTAAAAATAAATTAAAAATTTTGGGTTCTAAAAATAAAGTTATAGACCAGTTTTAAAGGATAGAGTTGCAAATGAGTTAGAAATTTAGAATTCATTAAGAAGGAAAAATAAATACAGAATATAAAGATATTTTATTTTTATTTTTTAATTAAATTAATGAAGTTATTATCTTGTAAAACAAGAAAAAGAAATTTTAAAATATTATAAAAAAATATCGTATTATTTAATTAAGTTATCTTGTAATCGGATTTCATTTTGTAATCGGGCGGTTCGGGTAATTTAAAGGTAAAATCATAAACCAAATCAATTATATCAGTTTTAAAATTTTATAATTTAAATCAACCCAATTTCATAACGGTTTAGATTGGTTTTTTTATCAGATTCAATCAGTTTTGGTCAGATCAATTAAATTGGATCGAATATGAACACCCTTAAGTAGAATAGTTCTTTTGTTTTGTTCTTATTTTGTTTTATCAAACAGAAAATCAAAAAAAAAAATATTATTATAACATTTAATAATAGTTACATAATAAATTTAATAAAATTAAATTTCATATATTTAATGATTATGATAAGACTCATTCATATTTTTATGTTAAAACATTTTAATTTTTTCTTTTTTTTTTCTTTTTTTTCTTTTTCTTTTTATTATTATTATTTCTTTTCATAAAATTATGAGAAAAACAATTTTTTAATGAAAAATTTCTTTTTAATATTTTATTATTACTCAATTTTTCGAAGATATATTAAGATATAGTTCATACATTTTGTAAACAATCACTTTTAAGACTTGTAAGGGAAATTAAATTAAAGCACTTTTCTTTGAAATCAAAGATAAAACAATGATAACATATAAAGAGTAAATTCTAACGATTGATCTAATTATAAATGTGTTTGTGGGAATGAAATAATTAGCTAAGTAATTAACCAGTGCCACACTCTAATAAATGGTTTAATTATGAGAGGATCTTGTACAATCTCGCTATAATATTTTACAATTTTATTCTTAATTATGAGAGGATTTTGTTTGATTTAAGTTTTAATTAGTTTTGATATGGATGAGTTTTGATGGTATGGCTTTGTGACCATTTCATTGGAATTTACATAAAACACGGATACATGTACTTCAAAAAAATTAGTGTAGTGTGATGCTCTCATTTTTTTCTCAGCACATGACACTCTCATTTTAAGTAGGATTATCCTACATACAATGACGCTCTTTAAGTTGTGGTAAGTAGGATTTTAAGTAGCAAAAGGCATAGAACGAGTCGTATTGATTATTCCTAACTAATGCAAAGAA